GTGGCGAGTGCGTGATACTGTACTTTACCGAGAGAAAAGTGGCCGCAGTCCACTGCAGGTGCGATATAAAGGCAGCCGCATGTAACAAAATAGAAAGGTTCAAAGTACCACGTCGAGGCGCATCCTTTAGTCGGCAGTTAAGTTTATTTACAAGTATTAACAGTGGCGCAAATGGAAAAAGAATATTTTAACTGACAACAAATGTTAGTAGCGATTACGTTTCAATAAAGTTTGGTTAATCATCAACCGATCTCATCTGCTTCGACTGACACCAAACAAATAAATAAAAACACAGAAGTAATGACTGAGATTAAAATTAACTGACTATCTTTACTCAATATAATATATTATTCGCAACTCGTCTACGTAGTAGCTATAAAGTATCTACTTATATAAACTGGAAATAAAAGACAATGTGTGGCGATTGACACCACGACAGTGACTAGCTACTTTGTACTGTAACAAAATATAAAAATATTTTTATCATTGGCACAAATGTCTATAGTAAAATCTATCAGATCGATGGTATATAGTATATAAGTTAGGAAGCATGCTCACATCATGCACTAGCGTCGGTTAAACATCATGACACCGCACACGCCGCAGGCCGGCTTGTTAGTACCGCTGTGCACATACACAACATACACAATACGCAAAGTGTACTTGTAATTACGACACACTTTAAATATATTAATTTGAACATTCAAACACTAACGACAACTTGTAACAACGATACATTATTATGAAGCGCTACTTTGTATTAATATAGTTATACATGTATAAATATTTAGTGAGATACAGATCGTTCACTCTAATAACCAACTGATAATACGGTTTCTTGACTTCGCATGTCTTCTCCTTGTCGACTCGAATATCTCCAGGGGTATATTGGGTACTGCATAATAATTAAAGCTTTGTTAGTAGAAACCTTTCATATAATGTTAAGCGAATATAAAAATATGATATAAATAATTGCAACATATTACAAATCCATTATATTTTTATATTTATAAGTTATCGAGTCGTAACGATACGACATATCAGATTGTCTACAAAGGTAATAAAAACGCATTCCATTCCTCACTCCATGACTGAAATTAGTAAACGAGACTTTCTAAATTAAACAAAAAGTTTCAAATGTAGGCGCCCTGTCGCAACGGCCCGGAGACATCACACCTAACAGACACGGCACAAATGAAGGTGTACAAGCGAGCAGAGAACGTGAGAGCACTCACCGGAGCTGACGGCGTTCCTGCAGCGCGCCGAGGTGCAGTACGCCTCGATCACCTTCAGAATGAGCGCGTCCTCCTCGTACGAGTTGGACTTGCGCTGGTGCGGCGCGTACGGGTGCGTCGGCCCGATGTTCTCCTCCGAGCCCGCGCTGAACGACTGCGGCCGCAGCGGCGGCGCCGGACGCAAGCAGGTTATGCTCCACCCTTAAAAATAAAATGTTATATAAGATTTTATGTCATTATATTTATCTGAAAAAAGATATTTCACTTTTGAATTTTATTTAGTTACCTTTGTTTAAATGACAAGCCTCCGTTGTATCAATAAAGTCGATAGAAGAATACTTCTTTCCAATGGGAATTTTGTTAGATTTAGCCGGCGATTGGTCGAGAGAGTCGCAAGAGTTGAGTAGCCATCGCGCTGATTGGTTCTTGTGCTTGCTCTTTTGCGTTTGTTGACTGTGTTGTGTGTAGCTTTGGTGATTGTTGAATGAATGTGATCTTTTGTGACTGCTGAGACCCGACGCCAACTCGTTACTGCTGTCGCTCATGGCCATCTGTCGATTTAATTAATTGTTACTGACAATATCCTCATGGTCGCCAACGATGTCCAACACACGTTTTAATACTCTAACAAAAAATTACTGCAATTAGACTGTGTTCATACAGCGATTTAAAGCAAAGGGAATACATAATGGTTTCTTGAATCCACGTACTTTTTACATTTCTAACTAGCTACTGTAATAATTTTTCTAACAGTTAATCCTGTGATAGTTCTACAGGTAAAGGATATATCAAGGAAATCGGCCAATACTTGAAATTACGTGGCCCCAAATCCATCGCATTGCATACCATATCTATTTGCAAACAGTCGCAATTACAACTCGTTAATGTGCAAATAGTATTTATTCACGCAACATTGTGGGGTAAAACGGTATGTGACCACAAGCTGTCCATGCAAATCTTCGAGTTGTTAGTGTATGACATCTACTTGCAGTGATTTTCAGTTAGTAAGATGAATAAACACAGGCAAGGATGATCGAGTAAAGCACTTCAATATCGGGGTACTCTAATGACAGCATTATTCTAGTTGTTACGGAACTGAAAACCAGTGATACACAAAACAGTATCTCTTTACAAAAAAATAATCCTTGCCTGAGTCGGTGACCACGGTAATGGGTAATTTGGCTTTCATCCACCAATGGGCGTATAAATCTGAACGGTACACGACGAAGCCGGTCTGGGCCTCGCTCAACACTTTCTGACACTTCAGCAGGTCTTCGCTGCGTGATCTAGTCTTGCGAGTACTGTCGTCTCTCGATTGGTTTTCTTTATTAAAAACGTCACATTTGCGTAATATGTTTTCCCGTGACGGTCTACTGGATGTTTGCTGTTTACTGTTTTCAGGCTTCTCCCTGTATATGCGCATGTGATAATGCAAACTGGGCTTCGTACGTTCAGTTATATTCAACGTGCTCCACTGGCAAGGAAGAGGCTGTCGGACATTCTTTGGAATTTCCATATGGGTGCTCGGTTTTCGATATATCCTCGGCGGTACATCAGGTTTTATTTTTATTTCCGGTACGTATCTTTCGATATTCCTTCTTATAGAAGTACGTTTAATTTGCGATGTTGACACTGGAGGATTTCCAGCAAAAGTAGACGTGACATATGTATTGGAGGAATCCATTACGTCTAAACTAGTCTCAGATGTAACACTAGTGACACAGGAGGTCCGCGCGGTGGAACCGAAAGGCGACGTACATCTACATTGATCTTCAAAAGCCGCTGCCTCTATTTCGGACAAAGTTAACTTTCGTTGATTTGGGTGGAAGTTATGCGCTACACTAGTCTTGCTTTGACCGTCGGAGTCATTACTGGTGCCACCTGCGCTTGTATATTCTGGCATATTCAATTCGGGGGAGGCCAAATTGCAACTACCGGCAACACCCGAATCGGATGATCGTGGGCTGGGGCAAAGCGATCTATTGCAGCACTCACATTTCTTAACAACTTTGCGCGTTTCCGACTGAGAACTCATTCTTTGCATGTGCGGATCGTTTTTCTTTACGTTCTCAGTTTCAACCATCGACCTAGATATAGATCGGCGAATTTTCTTATCAGAGTTTAAAGAATGTTTTCTAAAAGGCACGTTTGTATTCAGATTTACACTTAAAACTTTCAAGTCCTCGTCGGTATTGCGAAACATCGGAGGCGGATCTATAATGATCGAACCGACTGGACTCACGCGATCATTTTTAGGGGACGGCGGTTCTAATTCTTGAAGTAAATTTCCCACTGCATTGTCGTCATCAATATTGTCACGAGAATACCTTTCTTCGGTAGATTTCCATAATTTTGGAACATTATCATTCTTAGCGCTACGATTCGGAAAACTGCGCCGCGTTGGAATGAAATCTGACTCGTTGTTCGTCATAGTTTCAATTTGTCTATTCTGATCCATATTAACTAAATCTTCACAAGCCATGTAAGACCTAACATCGATACTAGAATTATCGTTACTATGGGAATGTTGCAAAGCCGAACGTGGAACATTTTCAAATCCAGGAGGAATTTGTAAGCCGACCGACGGCAGAGGTAAAAATATATTTTTAGTACAGTCACCCTTTACGAATGGCTGTGGAACATCTAGATGCATGTCTGTGGATGTATCAAAGTACCGAACATAACCAAAATTACTTCCACAGCTGCTACACGAAGATGAAATAGTTCTGGGACTAGGTGAGTCTAAGGCATTTTGGCGCATTATTTTAGAGGAATCGTTCATTTCAGCGTCCGTGCAACTGGAGGTTGATTGTGTTTCCGTGGTATCACTCTCCTCTCGATCACTGTCGTCTGAATTTCTATCACTATCGGAGCAGTCAGTTTCTGTGCCAATAGTGCCGTCATCTTCTATCCTCAACCTTATGTGATTTTTATGTCTTCTTCTTACAGGTAATCCTGTCAATTCAAATGCCTTCGCCCACGGTCTTTCGTGCAATAATTTCCTTAACATCTGTCTGGTAATAACCTTTTTTTTAACTAAACGTGCAAAGTATTTCGTTAGGGAATAGTACGGCGATGCGGAGGGATAGCTAGGCGGCGGCAATGTCACATGATAGAGACTGCGGCGACTAGTATTGATGCAAGATAATGCCCCTTCTGAAGGAGATCGGGTGAGCTATGTAAGAAACAAAATATATTGCAATATTCATAATGACAATTCCATAGATATCAAATTTGTAATTAGTGTATTTCACTCACTTGAGGTAAGGACTGCGGTTGTCCCGGATCGTGCGAGGGGCTGCTGGTGTTGGAGTGTTTCTGCAGCAAGCTGACCCAGTTGTCGGCCTCGGCGCGCGTCTGGCACACCGCGACTATCGTATCTATCATAGGACCACTTATCTCAAACGCATTTTTCCTTGTATCCGTATCGTCCAGTTTACAGACCGTTATACCAGTCAATGGAAGACAACCCTACAACAAATAATTCCAAACAAAAAAGTATAATTTCATTCATTTCAATATTTGTATTAGCGATACAAGTCAAAAGGTATTTGTCTAGTCACATATTGAAGTCACTGACTTTGCTTAAAGAAAATACTTATTATTAAGTGAATTCCAGCTACAGCTTAGCTGTAAAATATGACTGATAAACTTTACTTACCTCATAAACGAATGCAGAAACTCTTTTACTAACTGAAAGTAGTAATAAAGCTGAAGGGAAAAGGACGAGGTATCTGTCCTGATGTGAAGGACCAACTGCCACACTTCCCATGTGTAGTACATCTCCGAGAGAGGTCAGCTCCCCACCCGGCCAGCCACGCACCTCACCAGTCACTACTTGAAGCTCTAACTCCTTTTGACGACGTAAAGCTGCACATCCGCTCTAAAACCACATTTAGTGTATTATAATCTAAGCCACTGGTGAAAAAACTTATTAGCCAATATATGAACATTACAATTTAAATAATGGGAGCCAAATCTGCTTATTTTGTATGTTTATTGCAAACAATGTTGCTTATGTCACTTTGGAAAGCCTGCATAAATCAAAGCGCCTCTTCAAGCGAAAGGCAAGCAAAAAGTACAGCTAAAGAATCCCATTCTTTAGCTGTGCTTTGGCAACCACTGGATTAAACCATAGAGATGGCTAAAACAGTAACTTACTGCAATATCCTTGTAGACTACAGATGCTCTATGTGTATCCCCCCTGTCGGGATGTGCTTCATGAACATGCCTTGCCAACTCTTGCAGCATGGCTGGATACTTCCCAAGGCGGCGGAAAGGTTTAGACAAGCCAGCTGTTAACACAAGCACTCCAGGACACACCGCTCCTGCATTCTCCATCCAGGTGTTTAAACCTTCCCTAAAAGGAATGGCATGCAATGTATTTATAAATATATACCTAGTTAAATTTACCACTAGCTGTATTATTAAATTTTCCATGCCTCTACATTATTTACTTATTATATCTAAATTTGATATAAGATATAGAATTATTTTATATCTTTTCATACATATTTTCTATATTACATTATATTTTATATGTTCCTTAAAATCTGCACTGTTATACTTGTTTTACATTTATTCTTGTTATATTATAAAACACTTTTTGACAGAAAAACTCACTTATACTTATCAAGGATGCACACAGCTTTAGGATGGCCTGCGCAATATGTCTGGTGAACTGCCTTGATCTTAGGAGCCCATTGTAGAAACAGTCCTCCCACCCGTTGGTCTGGTCCAGTTTTTGTTGAACACTCTTCAAGAAGTACTAAGAATTGTTCATGAGTTTGCAACACTTCATTTATGTTTCCTGTCAACTGTTTGAACTCATCCTTTGTTAGCCTAAAAAAATACAAACCTCACTTTAAAAATTTGTAAACATTTTTAAGAATATTGTACTAATGAATAACATAGGTGTAACCAGTTGGTAACAACCATATTAAGTAGTACAGTGAAATTACATTATTTTTAAATACTCACATTTCACTTTTTTCTAAAGGTTGTAAGAAGTTAGTAACAAGGCCTTGCATCTCAGCAACATGTGCCTTCTCAGAATCAATGATATCTTTGAGGACAACATTTCTAAATGCTTGAATTTCTGATGCTGCTCTAATTGGTGATGTTGTTAGTGATCCTGATGGATCTAAAACAATAAAACACATACAAACAAGTTAAAAACTCCATTTAAGGTAGTTAAACATGTAAAGAAGTAATAGTACTGAAATGTACACATCAAACTGTTACTAAGTTACATTCCAATTGTAAAATAAGATATTTCATAGATACCTTTATGTTCAGTAACATAATTACTGGGGAACCATCCTGTTGTTTCACCAAGTGTGCCCTCCCACCAGCCACCTTCCTCTCTTTGGGTAACAGTGATAATGTCACCTTTCTTGAAACATAGTTCATCATTGTTTTTTCCTTTGAAGGAATAGATTGCTTTGACCAAGCAATTTTCAGTTGACATCATTTTTGTACTCTAATACCATGTTTTCTGAAAATAACGAAAGTTAAAAGGTTGAACGAAGTGACAATAAACATTAAATAAAGTATAACACCCAATTTCCCTTTTCTACTAATGACAACACAACATACACTATTTTAATGCACATACTATTCATTAGTCATAGCGACCAAATTCTAGAAACAGCAAATACTAAGGAAAAAGAGGAAATGCATTCCATACCAGTATCGCGACTATTGAGATGTAAGCAAAAATGTTTAGAATTTATTAAATATGTAACGTAACAAAAAAAACGAAAAACGTTTTTAACCTTAATAGGCTACAAGTACATGGAGGACAGATAGGAATTTCAGTAAAATTTCTACGTACTAAAAGAATTATAATTATATCCGCTTCTCTCACGGTCTTCCAAAAATAAATATTCAAAGAGTATGTAATCTAACTATTTTGCACAGATAACATATATGTAGCAAAGTAAATATCGGACAGAGCCTTATTTATCGGGTTTCTATTGGGTCATTTTTGGCGCAAAAATCGCCAGATTGGCAGATCTCAATAATCTTACTTGTTACTTTTTCTGTTACTAATATTATAAATACGAAAGTTTGGATGGATGGATGTTTGTTAGAGTTTCTACCCTAAATGGCTGGACGGATCTTGATGGAATTTGACAAATATGTAGAGAAACTGGAAGAACATATTATAGACTATTTCCTTTCTTTCATTTTTAAATTCCACGCGGTCGGAGTCACGGGCGCAAGTTAGTTGTATTGTATGTAAATGTTGATAGAATAAGAATCTTATTGCTTAAATAATAATTATACGGACAAAAGTGAAATATTAATGTGTATTTGCTCACGAATACGGTGTGCAATTACAATCTGTTTTTTTTTTTGCTTAATTTCTGTTTTTTTAATATTAAAAACAAATTCATGGTACCGATTTCAAACATCTTTCCATTTTATTTTATCTAACCTAATTTTATTTGCTCTGTGGCTAGCTTGATTGACTGATTGTCAGCTGTCAAGCTTGACAAGATATCATCTGTGTATGTAACAAAATAGCCGCAAATAAAATAAATAATAAATATATTTATTAAGTAATAATGATGTAAAGGTGTGTCTGATTTGTGATTGAAAACTTCCCAATAACATTTTATTAAATTTATGTGTACATTTGGTATCAACGTGGGGTGAGAACACCTCAATGCGGAACATGGGGAAATAGAACTACTTAATGCTGGTTTATTGGTGGAGATGTATAATCGTATATATCGTAACTGCTGAACAAAATACATTCGAGTGTATAACTGATGGTAGCTCGACATCACGTGCAGCCCCAATCTCACTCACTCCTAACATAGCTGTTAGGCAACTGTTCTGCTGATTTTCAGAATTTTCTACTAATTATGTGATCTTCGATCACGTACCAGCTCCACTTTGCCATGGTGGTCGGGACGAACATATCTCTTAATTTATTTCTAGTATCTTTGTTTTAGTGATGGGTAGTCATTCTATTGAGTTATCCAAGTAGATGCCTTATCATAAATGGAAAGCTACAGTTTAAAACGACTGACATCACATTGTTGCCATCCAATATTTATTGCGATAAGAAAAAGTTGTCTAAACATGTGACGCTTTGTTATAAATTTAATAATGGATCAAAATCTAGAAGATACTTTATACCAAGTAATACTTAGACAAGATCAGGATGCCATTATTCATCTTATTGCTCAAGGTATCTTTAATCTTTAAATTACATACTCAGGTGTATAACTCATGTAAATAATTTGCAAATTGTAATTTTACATTTTTTTTCTTTCTAGGTGCTAATCCAAATAAAGTAACTAGACATGGAAAAACTTGCTTAGGAGAAGCAGCTAAACTTGGTAGTATTAACATTGTCAAATTGCTTATTGATGCCACACTTGCTAATAAAACTGCCTCTCATGAAAATATATCAAAGAAGCGGAATATTAAGTGTCACAAGAGAAAACTAAAATCCACTGGTCAATACAGTGAAACTGTTGTTAAGTACAAAAACTGTAATGATCGAAGTTACAGGGAGTGTCAAGTAGAAAAATCAGGTGGAGTTGAGTCAGAAAATAAAGATTGTTCTAAATTTGATAAAAATAGAGGCTACTTTGTTTTCATACATAGTGATGGGTCCAGTAGTGATGAAAGTAGGATTAGTCTGAGATCACCAGTGACACCACCAGCCTTGCCGCTATCTCCACAGATTGATCTAGAATGGGATGAAGATATAGGAAATGTTGCACCTACCACAACCGAGGATGAAACTTGGTCATCAATGTATAAGTTAGTTTTCAATTACAAACTCTTATAGGTATAAAATTCATGGAAAATTTAAAACTGTTCTACTAATGAAAACATAGAAGTGCTAAGACAAAGCTGTCTAAATTATATTCTTTACCTGCACTAACATGTAATCTTACTTCCTACTAATATTATAAATGTGAAAGTTAAGATGGATGGATGGATGTTTGATAGTTTGTAGCCTAAATGGCTAAATGGATTTCAATAAAATTTCGCATAGGTGTAATGGACAGTCTGGAAGAACACAAAGACTACCCATTTTTGTTTTTGCGAGCGAAATAAGTAAATTAAAATCATAAGAGGAATGATATCAGATGTCTTTCTATCCAATTGTATGGACTGTATTATAATATTTCGATTGGCTTTTGCAGATGGTACGCTGCTATTTTGGAGTGTACTGGAGCAGCAATAGCTTCCGCATCAGTGGTAACAAATGGTATTGATCAACAAGATGCATTTATGAGAACAGCTTTACATTATGCTGTAGAACAAGGCAATGTTGCTATTGTAAAGTTATTTATAGATGCAGGTAAGTGACTACTATCCATAGATGCAATTCCAGATGGGTTGTCTACTTTTAATGGATAGAGGAGGACACTCATAGAAAGATATATCCTCCCATTTCCAACAAATCATTGCATTCCCTCCTCCAACTATAAATTTCTGTTGCAAGAATGATTTTTTAAAATGAATTTTTCTTTTTAGGGTGTAAAGTTGAAATCACTGCCAGTGATGGTTTAACACCGTTACATATAGCAGTTATGAAGAATCAACCAGAAATCACCAGACTGTTACTAGGTGCGGGAAGTAATGTTAATTATAAGACACATGAGAAAATGACACCTTTACATTTTGCTGCATCTCGCGGATTCATTGAACTGGTACATTGAATTTTATTTAATCACCTTAGATAATTTTTTTTTTAAAACATTAGTAAATTTTTGTTAATTTACTAACATGCATAAGGCAAAGTTAAAAATTTTAAATATTGAAAACAATGGTAAGTGCACCTACTTTAACATAATGTTATCCAGCATCAAGTCCTACTTACTGTAGCAAACTTACTATTATAAATGTAAAAGTTTAGATGGACGGATGTTTGAGATATACTACTAATTCTTTTTTATTGCTATGCGGAAGTTGCGGGCGACCGATACTATTTATGTAGTGTTTACTATAATATAGGATTCAATGTAATGGAGTAAAAGAATATCTTGTTATAGGTACAGATATTGGTTGCTAATGGAGCTTATATAGAAGCAAGGGACACAAATGAACGGACAGCATTGTATTTGGCATCAGGTCGAGGTCATGCAGATGTTGTGGCATTCCTTGCATCTGTTGGATCAAATGTTAATGGGGAAGAAATACATGGTAAGTATTTAGCAATGTTTGGATGAATGTATGTTTGTTATGATGTATCTTTAAAGCAGTTAAAAAGTTTTGGATGAAATTTGGCACAGATGTAGAACATAGGATGCTTTTAGCTTTTTTAATTCATCCTGCGGAATAGCTGGTAAATAATATTTCTTCTGTATGTTTTAGGCTATACACCACTATGTGAAGCAGTTTGGCAAAGATATACAGAGGTTGTTGAAGTATTATTAAGAGCCGGTGCTAGAGTAACGCATTGTCATAAATTATTGCATAATGCTATCATACAGCGTCAGGTAAATTTTGTGTTATTCTTTAGAGCGGGCGCACACCTTTGACTAAACTATCGCACGACTGTTGTGCAATGATTGTTTCGCAGCGAATTCAACTGTTTAATTGCTCTACTAAAAATCGAGTAGTGTGCGCATCTCCGTATAAGCTCATAGGAATCATAGCGAAAAAACAGTTGTGCGATAGTTGAGTTTTAGGTGTACATATGCTCTGAAAGTGTTAGTACTGTGTATTGGTCATTAGGTGTTATTCATAAACTATTTATAGGAGGAAATTGTGAGAATGTTATCAAATTTAGGAGGAGGGATAAATTTACATAATGATAATGGAGATACGCCTTTACTGTTAGCGGTTCGACTATCGCAGGCGAATATAGCACATATATTACTCCGCAAAGGTAAGGCACAACTATAGCATTTTTTTTAAGGTTTCATTTATTGCTAATCTAAAATTATATTTTCAGGAGCAAATGTCAATGGCACTAATAGTATAACAGGTGCAAATGCACTTCATATAGCAGTTGAAAATATCGAAGATTCTAAAGACTTTGAAGATATGCTTGTGTGTTTGACACAATACAATATTGATATGAATGCGACAGCGCTTACTGGCGACACTGCACTCAATAGAGCTTTGCTATTACAAAAGTATAACAATTACAAACCAATATACAATTAATTTCTTTATATACTTAAACAACCATCTGGACTTTATTTTTATTTTCCAGGGATTTCGCTGCTGTATTACTAATAAGATATGGAGCTGGTGTTAATGCCTGCGACCTTCACTCTTGTGGTTTGGACAATTTATCTATAGCAAGTAGAAGAAAATCACACCAATTAGCCTCAATGTTAATAAAAGCCGGACATATGACCACACTGGAGTCAAGTTCAGTGAATTATCATAAATCTGGTAACACAGCTAACTGGGTACTGAATGCTTGCAAGGAACCGTTGTGTCTCTCAGATATTTGTAGGATAAAAATCCGACGCTTATGTCACAATTCTAATTTAGTTGCTTTCATATCAGGACTACCTTTACCAAAGAGCTTAAAAAGATTCCTTATGATGGAAGATGAATGTGCACATATATTGAGTCATGTTTGACATAAGTGATATATAAACTTTGTAAGTTATCAAGTATAAGTAATTGTGTGATAGTGGAGAATTAAAAACATTTACTGTGTTTTTAATTTTTATTAAAAGAACATACATAAAGATACAATTGTAGTACAAATGTGTACATTAGTGGAAAGTATAAAACTTTAGAGAATGAAAATCTATTCTTAATGTTATTTTATTAAAATAAATGATTTCTTATAGTAGTTTCCTATAGAGGTGTCTAATTTATTTAGATTTAAAACAATATTTATTATAATTATCACTACAATGTTGTAACAATGTGTAACACTAGAAAAAATATAGAACCTTGATCTCATAATGTTTTTTATTGTTAACATGTACCCTATTAATAAATCACAAAAATATTTTTAATATCAAGCAATAAACTACTACACAAAGTTAGTAACATAAAATAACAAAATAATGAAACACATCCAAATATAACTGGCCCATTTTTACAAACAGTTCAAAATATCAAAATTTATCAAAAAATTAAAAACATATATGACAATATTAAATTATGAGTGCAAAATATTATTAATTAGATTGTTAAAACAGGCCAATTATAATTTACTATAACACAATACTGACAATGATATGTGATAATCAAATATTTGATTTAATGTTCACATCTTTGGTTTTTTATTACAAAAATGTTTAAAACATGTGTAAATATATTAAAAAAAATTAATTGCATAAAGCTTAAGACAAAAAAATAACTTTAAAATTTATTAATATTATAATATCATTTGTATGTAATAAAACTAGCAATGCAGACTTATTTAAATTAAAGAATATTATGGGTTCCTATATTTTTGATTAAAACAAACTACATAAAGCAAATCTTCATATTTTTACGTATTATTATTGATAACTATAAATATCTATAGGGAATATGGGATTTAAGATGAAACTTTAGTAGTTTCCAGAAGACGTAAGTATTAAGAAATTACAAATTTTATACAGTTGAATGAATGCATGACTAAAAATTTTATATAATTATTCACTTTCTTTCCCCTTAGTTTTACTTCTCATATCAGTGTTTTAACCTAAAGGATATTTTGGTAAATTACCTTTATTATCTTGTATGTTAGTTATATGAGGGCAAGCATCTGTTAATGTTTTAATAAGGTCATATCTTTTGTTCTGGATAGCTTTATGAAGTGCCGTCTGTCCATCAATATCTTGTTTGTCAACACAGGCCCCATTTCTTATAAGAAAATTTACTGTTGTTAATTTTCCTGAAATTCAATTTACAAAATTAATATTTATTAAATATAGACAATCACAAAGTGGTAAAATTCACATATATTTATAGATTCCAATCAACTTGAACTATGACTTTTAAAACTTCGTATTGAAAATGTCAATTCTGTGTTGCTTTAATAGTTGATAATAAATGAAATAAAACTTGTAAAAAATGAACAGTTATTTACTTTAAAAAAGCAATTATTTTTAAACAATCATGTTAGAAACACATTGCATAGGTGATTGAATTAATTTATATTCTTTTATTATGAAATAAAGTTAGTAAATATAATAAACATAGTTACCTGCCGCTGCAGCTTTATGTAAAGGTGTTGCTTTACCACTTCTAGTTTCAGCATCTATAAGTGCTCCATTTTTTAACAACATGTCACAAATATTGACATGTCCACCGCGGGCTGCATAATGTAGTGGACTGTAGCCAGCATTGTCTACCGTGTTAACAATTTCTCTGGCATCCCTTGCTTTATTAATTAATATGCTAACTTTCTCTTCATCCCCACTAAAAGCTGATTATAAAATTTAATAGAAATAATAGTAATTAGCTATAGATTAAACTGAAAAGTTTCAAAAATTACCTGCATTCCACAATCCTCTTTCCCAATCCATTTCAGAAATAGTCTGACAAACAGATTTATTGGCATTTTTTATAGAACAGTTTGCATGATTACATTCGGTATTATGATCCATTATGACAAAATGTATTTAATGATGTCTAAAAACTAATAAAGTGGGTGAACAAGTTAGATGTCTCTTTGTAATGTCCAAGTTATTTCTGTTTCTCCAGTGCTGGAAATAATCTTGTATCCCAGTTGACCTAAGGCGTTGAGTGAATTGAGGACATTTGTTTTTATAGTGACACCATTCACAACTCCAACTCCTGATCCCGGAAACTTGGAAGTTAATGCTTTTATTTCTTCTTGTCCTAGACCAAACACAGAGCTGTCATTGGCATACAAGGAACCTTTAACAGCTATATAAACAACACCATCTTCTGATAAAACATTACTCAAATTGGTTGTAGATGGACTCTGACTCCCTTTTGTATCCATTTTATAAAGAAAATGCACACAAAACTAAAATTTTAAAATAACAATAAAAACTTAAACCTCGTCGTCTTTATTTGAGTGTTGGTAATTGCCCATATGCATAGCCTCTTTACTGAAGTTAGTGATATTGTCCTGTTCTACAACAATTGAAGGTTCAGGCTCAGAAAACTCTTTTCTCATAGTCCACATATACTCATTATAATCTTGCTTCACTGCTGTTGAGCTGGAGGCAACAACTTTGTAACCCAATACCTGAAAAATAACAAGATTCAATCACACACTTTCTTTGTTAGGTATAACTGTTGTGTAGATATGTGAATCACTCACTTCTAAAGCACTGAGAATGACGCAAGGATGTTGTAGATAAACGATGGTGGAGTCGTCGCAATATCCTCCACATGCGAACCTTTTTAATTGTTCTATATCTCCGGCTACGTAAAATTATTTCAATATAAAAAACTAGGTACTACTAATTAAAATACAACACGTAATAATCCTTAAAATGAGAACAGAAACATGAAAACATACATTTACGTCCGATAACGATGACAAAGTTATTCAGTTATTCTGTTTCTCATTTTCAGTATAATCAGATAAACACATATCTTTATCAACAACTACCTTTTAAGCCGGATACTAAAACTCTCCAAGGGTTTTTGTGCCCGTATGATGCTAGATTACCTCTAATCAAAATGTAGGGCATTGATTACGGATAGTTTTCACTTATTTTGTACAAGACAGAGAAGAGATTTTAAGAGTTTACTTACAACAAAAATCAAAGAGAATCAACAATTTTAAATACGCACAATTGTATTAAAATCGAATCCTTGTTCTTATATTTCTGCTAATGACACTAATTATTTGATTACCTATATCGATACGAAGTTTCAAAACGTAACTAGGTGCTAGGGTTGTGCCTCATCATAATCGTTCCATGAAGTTACAACGATTATGTCTTTGGGAATCGGTATCGTTCCAGATCGTACACTCGATAGAAAATATATTAATAGAATTTTCTTAAATCAAGACAAATGTCTATAATCACAGGTTACTGGATGAAAAAATTGAATTGTTTTTTAAATGCCTAGATAATCAGAACTCATATTTAAGATTATCATTATCGAACTACCTATTTTCTTTAGGCTTTCGAACAATCGAAAATCCGAACAATCGACTAAAAAAAAGTGATTTATTAAAAAAACACTTTCATGATTCAAAACATTAGTTATTTTGATGTCGTTATTAACATTCAGAGAGCAGTCTTTTCAACCTTCCTTTGGAGAGTCTTCTTTGTTCAAACTTGTAATTCAACGATATTGCCACCGCATTCTCTTCGGATGAAAACTAGGGAGAGCTATCGTGTTTTATACGAGTAAATTAAGCTACGCCAATTGAAATTCACGTGTAACAAAAGTAAAATGGACGAAACGAAACAATTAATCGTACGATTATTATTTTAAATAGTTTAGGATCCAATTGAGAAGTTAGTTTCGTAAGTAATAAATCAAAGACGAGAAGACAATTTTACTTAATGCGTAGGATATCAACGCTTTTGTTACTGTTACATTTATTTGGCATAGTTTATTTAAAAGCAGCAGGTGATAATTTAATGAATCAAACAAAAAATCTCGGCTTTTACTTTTCGATGTAATTGACGCTGTGAAATGCGAAAACAATAAGCGGTATAAAATGCAACAATTTGACTATAAAACTAAATGCATTCCGTTAATATATCAAACCCACTCACAGACTAACATATATGCGATGTGTTTATAATAATAGACACTGAAACCTCAGTTTGTAGTACTTTATTCTCATACTTACTTTATTCTCATCTTGCCAAGGAAATTAACACCTACGTTTTTGTCGGAAAATTAAGAACCTACATAATAAGAGCAAGATTAATTTCAGGAAATACGCATGTCTAATTTTTATTTCTAATAAAAAACAACAATAGACCTCATATTCGACGTACTATGACTATCCTAACAAAGGTATAAAATCGGATACTGTCTACATTTTTTGTAGGTTAATCCTATAAGGTTGAATTCAATAAAGGTCCTATAGTAACTTTATTGAAATCTCATATCGTTTAGTCTAGGCCGTTCACAAGTCTAGAACAATAATGAAAATTTTCGTGAACTCTCAATCCCAAACTGTATTGCGAAAATACGCATATAAAACAAAAGGATTTAAAAGGGTCGCAGTCTATCTAAATTCTGAAGCTTCAATTACGACACTAGGTTCTTGGACTGAAAATAGTACGGATCCTGTCTCCATACAATTGTTTTTGGATTAAATGACATAGTTGTTGACATAGAGGTGACGCGTCATTTTATTATAAACTCTGGGCAATTATACTTTTTGCTATCATAACGTTGTAATCATGATCCGTCATTAGACTACAAAGTATTAGCCAGTCATTTTGTGTGTGACCTTTAAGAAGATGCCACACGCGCCGTGCACGAAAGTAAGCAGGTTTACTCTGCTGTTTTAATATGCTCCGTCGTTAGTTCAGTTCTGTTTCTTGTCTATGGCACTCCCTTAGCGGATTGGGCAAGCGTCGAGTATGCTCCGTCGTATGTGGCATCTCACTAAATGTGTGCATTGAAGTCTTTATCTATATCAATTACTTTGTATAATAAAATAAAAAAAATATTAAACAGATCTCGAAATCTTGAAAGAGTAATATTTCAGTAGTATCCCTTCAAAAATTTTCGATTTTTCATATGTACATAATTTACCCGACGTTCTTACGGTGAAGGATGACATCGTGATGCAACCTGCACATATCGGCGAAGAAATTCAAAGATATGTGTGAAGTCAACCAACCCGCACTTGGCCAGCGTGGTTGACTATGGCCTAGTCACCCCGTATTAGGGTAGGCTCCGAGCCCCTCGGTGGGGACGTAAGTGAGCTGGTGATGATGATGATGATGATCCCTTCAAATTGTGGTTATTTCATTGCACTTATAAAAAAATGGCTAGAATTTTGCATAAAACGTGTACTTATAAGCATATAACTTTTATGTCATTAGCTTATTCAAATAAAATCATAATACCCAAAGTAAAAACGTATCACTTTTTCATATTAATTACTGTCTAAATGTAGTACTATCTAAACAAAGTTTTTATCAATGAAATATCCACCCTGAAGGTTAATAATAAATTAATCATATAAAGATGAAAAATCTTTTTCAACCTCAATAAAAGTAGTGTGTAATACAAACTATTATATTATAACTTTTCATTGTTATGGCGAGGCAAGTCGTGGGCATTTGTTAGTTTTGAATGAGATAACAGATTTCCCTCATTAATCACTAAAGCGTACGTTCTTCGCGTTAGGTGTAAAAACGCCTTATGAATTGTCTATTCTGGTATACGTGTTCTGGGTCGTTTATCAATAAAGCTAGGTAACGCAAGATGTCTGTGAATATTGCATGTAATAATATCTTCTCAGAAATAATCTGTTCCATTAATAATGGTGTTTTTTAATGGACTCGTTCACATAAAAAAGATTACGTCAAAATTTAACATCGTGTTTTATAATAGCCCGTTTTAGACCTTATGAATAAAAAATCCTCTTCTATTTGTGTTTATAATAATGGTAGAGTTCTTCAAAAAATCTTGCTTTAGTTAATCGGTAGCCATTTCGCATTTGTTATCGATACTTAACTTTATCTAGATAAAAATTGAAATTTTTCATAGTAAGGAAATCATATAAGGTTTTTGTGTTTAGCAAATGTTTTCTGTCAGCACTGTCGAGTTTGTCGATCACAAAGTGCTTTCGGCGGATTAGCGCGAGACAATGACAGATACGTATGCGTCAATGAAAAGCCACTTTAAATTATATTTCCTGACTCTACTTTAGTTAAGTATATGATAATACATCTTAATGAAATCCATGCGATATGTGGATAGGCTCAGTATCATCTAGTTGATTTTTTGTAATTCACATCAAAATTTAACCATTATACGAAATACTTTAGTTTCTATATTTGCTGTCTGCATCAAAGTCGTTAAAATATTCTCGACAGCAAAACATAATACTGAACTTTTAAAAATCAATTTAGATTAAAGCTAGAGTTTCAATCTCTACCTTACATTTTTACTTAAATAAATGAAGATTTTACGATAAGATTTTTTTAAAGCAGTTTTACTTCAAGCTAATTATTGTAATATTTTCTAAGGCTATAAATAAGACTACTAACAGTATCCCTGTGGTTTAATGTGCACACTAACCAGCGTACATTCATGTAATTCGGTTTGGATACACCACTGAAAGGCTGCGCTTTCATTCTTCAGTGTTAGTGTAGTCAGGCTGGCATACGGTCGCCGCGGACTTCGCGTCTCCCAAAGTGCTTGCGAGTGATTTTCGAAGATAAAATATATGGTTTGATTGTTAATTAAGTTTGCTTTAAGTGATTTATTAATGCGTGGAAAAATTATGGATTCAATTATTAGTGGATTTAGTGATAGTGTTTAAGTTGTTGAGGTAAGATTTTTATAATAGTGTGAATTATTTTGTTTTGTGTGTTTTTATTTTATACTTATTATTATATTTTACAAAATATCAAATTCTGTACAATATAAAACTTCGTAAAATTATAATAAAAGGAGGGCTTACTAATTACGTAAATTATAATTTTGTTTTGCCTACATCATC